ACAATGCCCTACAGTGTAATTCTTATGTGGTTTTCCATGCTCTAAATGTTTTTATTACTGATACATTCTTGTAACCGCACTGCGCTTCTGTTTCTTCAGGTCTTTGTTTCTCAGGGAATTTTTAAGCAATTAACAGTCTTTGTGATTTTCTAATGAACAAACCAACCATGTTCATCACACTTGGTAATAGTTCCTCCTCCTGTCATGTGCTGTATGCATCCATGGAGTGTTTCTGTTAGATACACATGCTGGAAAGGCTTTGCCTTCGGTGGCTGTGTTGAACCTCGGGATCCTGGCAACCCTGCGGTGTTTTCTAAAAGGCTTTTCAGAAAAGCAGCCAGAGCCTGTAAACCTTCCCCGAGTTTGTGAACTCTCAGCTCCTTGACCTCTTTCTACCCTGGCAGCAGAAGATTCTTCAGCCGAGGATTCAGTTCCTTATTTTTATTTTTGATATCTCATGGTTTTTAGTTTGATCTGTAAGGTTGGTTTTGTTCTGGGAGGGGTAAGGAGATTCTCTTTTGGTTTGTGTCTATTATTCTGAAGCACTAACACTTACTGGTTTCTGTCTATCAACTCCTCTCCATTTTCATACCTCTGAAGTACTTTCAGGTAAATCTTAAGAACAAACAGTGTTTGAGGAACATATTCCATTGTGATAACCAACTGTAAAGTTAAAATGAAAAAGAAGTCCAACCTGATTTTTAATAGGCACTTTTGCACAGGAAGCTGCAAGAGTCCAAGCGACCACTATCCCCGGGCATGCATGTGCCCCATGAGGAAATTGTCATTCCAGTGCTCTTTCATTTTATGACCAGTTTAAGCTGAACCAGCTAAGCAATAGTTGATTATTAGGGGCTCGCCTCATGTGGGATTTTCTTGTATATTGTAGTTTTCCAAATAGCGTGTAACCAGTATTTATTAAATCTTTTTTTATGTATAATTTCAAGAATAACTTTTAGACCACGGCAGGCATAGGTACACTTTCAAGAGCTGTTTTAGGGCATCGCTCTTGCCAAACCTGTTTGTGAAGAGTGCATTTTGCTGCAGTGAAGGTCTGGTTTGGCTGGCAAGAGTGAGAGAATACTCTGGGCAAAGGGGCTTCAAGCAGCCAAGACTTCTGGAAGCTGAAAGCCTTTTTGGACTTAAGAAAATTAACTGTGACTTGTGTCATGTTTCGTATGAAATTGAGCTGCTGAGGTCATGGCAAGAGAAGGAGGTATAATGGTGATCTCACAAGCTGTTCATTTCGTGATGAGCACTGAAGGGTCATGTCACCATATAGGATACTCTACTGAAACTTAGTGTCTCACTATAACAAAAAAAAACCCCAAACAAAACAACAACAACCAAACAAAACAAAAAAAACCACAAAACTAAACCAAACACTACAGTTTTTATTAAAGAGAAAACGCAAATGGAACTCAGGTTTACATGCTTTGTTTTATGAAGTGTATCGTTAAAGGCATCGCATGTGTCATTTCAGAGAAAGTGGAACAATTTTTTTTTTCAGTATTCCTAGAGGAACCACGCCCCCACCCCCCGAACTGACATTTTCAGGATAACTTTTTCTTGCAAGATTACTTTTGATCGATGAAAGTGTTTTTCTTACTTGTTTAATTTACTTCTTGTTCATACTGATATAAAAACGTCCCGGTGCTCCGCCTGTCCC